TCAACTAATCATTAGGAATTAGGGATGATCACGTGATACGACCCCTTTTTTCCCACCTCAACTCCTTCACCATTTATTTTGCGGGATATTAATTCTAGATATTAGACTGGGAGAGTACTTCGATCTATCAAAAACATCAAACATTGTTGCAAAGAAAACAACCAACCTCCGGTGCGAGATATTCAGGTGTTCCACAAAAAGTGCTGGTTTTATCTCCAAAGCTAATCTCCTCTTTACAGAGACCAAAATCGGCTATTTTAATATGTCCATCCTTATCGAGCAGTAAATTTTCTAGCTATAAAGAAAAAGATCTCTACTGATACAGTCGAAGTAAAAGAAAACGATAACAGGACAGGGACGAAACATTTGCAAAGCACAGAAACGACACAAAAAAAACAGAAAAGGGGAGTGAGACGAAAAAACACTCTTCGCAAAACACAGTGACTCTCGAATGTCTGCATACGGTACATGAACATTTAATTATAGGTTCAGGTTGTCAGGCTGCGTACAGTACCCCCGAAAATTGCGCGTGAGATCAATTGTATTGGCCGTGAATGCACACAACGGGACCCGGGACTGCGTGGACCATTTCAATTTTGGCGTGGAGTACTGTATCTGGCCGCGGGGCCAGTGCCTGACGGTGTCGGACGGGTCGCTGCCCGGGTGGCCGCCCAACCCCGGAGCTTCCTCCAGCCCCCGCGCGCCGGTTATACAAAAGCCGTATAACAGGAGCTATTAAACGCACCTCAAACTTGGGTAACTAAACCGATTACGGTGCGCCCGATTGTGTGCGTTCACGACGCAACATTTTTAACTTCACGCGCAATTTTCGGGGGTACTGTACGCAGCCTGAACCTGAACTTATAATCTTGTGTACATAAACCACACCGCCCACATTTCAATTACACATGAAAATTTTACTGAAAAGTTCAAGTGACTACACTGTACCGAACTTGGCAAGAAATGAGCACAAACCAATATCAATGTTACGCAACGATAACCGGGATGGATGGGGAGGGATCACTTACCAGGGAAGTCACTCACAGTCACCAACTTACCATGGAACTTTGAATGGAGACCTGGGTAGATCGATAGAGTCTATAAGGTTATTTACAAATATAGATAGCAAACTGCAACCTGCATTTCACAAGCAACTTATGAGCAGGTAAAGCTTTGTAATGGTACAGTAGGGTGGAGGCTTGGTGGTGAGCAGTGAAACATAAGCGTGGAATCGCATACGTCGAAACGACTCGTGGTGGTTAAGTGGTTAAGGTTCGTCTCTCGACGACACTATTCGACGTATGCGATTCCTCGCTTATGCTTCACAGCTCACCACCAAGCCTCCACCCTACTGCACCAATACAAACTTTACCTGCTCATAAGTGAAATGCAGGTGCAATGGCTACAGTATATTTGGTAAATAACCTTATAGACTATCGAACTACCCAGGCTCTCTATTCAAGGTTCCATGGTAAGTTACGAAACTCCCTGGTTTAGATTTCGGCGAAACTGGGATCTCCACCTTCAACGCCTGAAAATTTCTGTCTAAGTCTGAGGGGAAGCGACAGTCCCCATCTGCCCAAAGCGCTAGTGTATTTAGAAGTGATTACCCGGCCGCGCTTCTGTAATGCTTCCCCGAAAAAAAAGACTTCGGCTCCGCAAAGAAGACATAGTCTCCACTAAACCTAAGCCTTGATTAGGAGGAGGCGGAGGGTCTGGCAGCGTCCCAAAATATGAGGATACAACTGGAAACTAAAAAAATACGAAAAAGGGTCCAAATACTTCTCAGCCCTATCAAAGGCAAACTGAATAGAAATATTTCTCTATGCTTTCGTCAACATAAATAAAATAAAGAGCTCCGACTAATCTACTTCGTCATGGTCAGACCTTTAGATCGCGGTAGACGATGTTGTTAGCATGAAGGTAACCAACTGCCAAAACAATTTCGGCACCATAGAAGCGAGCTCGTGGCTCCGAGAAGCCTTCCTTCGAGGTTTGTACCTCACGATTCAGATGGTAATACAGATCACCGCCAATAGCGAATTCCATCACAAAGCATAGACGATCGGCCGTTTGGAACGAATATTTCAGCTCCTATACACGATCATTGAGACATTAAGCCTATGTTTTAGAGTTACATTTTTCGACTCTACCCATCCCTACGGACCCTTTGATCTACCATCCACTCTAGGCTTGAGGACCCACCGCCAATCCTTACGTTCAGAATCTGAATTAAAGCGCCGGCGCCAATACACCTAGTTCATTGCTCTAGTTACTATCTCCACTCCTTTTCCCTTTGCGTGTATCATCAAAATCGAACATTTCTCTAGGGCAGCGTTCAGACTTCGCAACGGCGGCGCTTCGGTCGCGCGTCCGATCGATTTTTGATCGCAATAGCGTGCGTTCGCGCAAGCGTTCGACTGTGTGGCGCAACTGATTAAATCGCGCTTCAGTGCTAAAATCGACAGGACCGATGCTAATTTACAGCCGTACTCGCTGACTTTTTACTTCTTTCTCCTCTTTTTAGCTTCTAGCTCCCTCTTCAATCTTTTTTCATCTTCCTGTCAGTATTTTCCTCAATGTTTTGTGGGT